GCGCCTAGGCGACGCCTAGGCGGGCGCTTTGGACGCCTAGGCACCCAAAGCGGTCGATTTTCCAAAGCGGAGGGGGAGCGCTTCGTCGCCTAGGCGTCGCCTTAGGGACGCTTTAAAAACATAGGCTATGGTTCTGTTAGCATCTTATGCAGTCTGATACCCTGATGGGTCATCCGGCCTTCTGTAGTTCTGTAGTTGGCACAGGGCCTTTGCTTGCTTGGTCAATTTTGATCTGAAATAGTGAAGCATTCCAGTGTCAGGGATGTTTCTTAAGGTCTACATTTTTTCAAAGATGCAAGTGAGGGAAACAGATTCACCCCACCACCATCATACCACTATCCAATTGGAACATTTAAACTAAAGAAACCCTGTTGTGCAGATGATCAGGATGATGGAGGTTCAAGCGCAAGGATCCGGAAACTGTCCGCCTTTCAGCGGAAAGCTCTCTCACATGCTCTATCATGTAAGTTCCTACTCTACTCGGTCTGTTTAATGATCACATTTCTATGGACAACTGTCGCAGAAACTGAAGTGAAAAGCTTCCGTCCACATCTGCAGTTCCCTCTGTAGAGAGATTGGTCTACAGCACCTGTTCAATACACCAGGCAGAGAATGAGGATGTCGTCAGCTCTGTGCTACCTTTAGCCTCATCACTCGGTTTCGAGCTCGCTACCCCATTCCCTCAATGGAGGCGCCGTGGCCTTCCGGTCTTCGACGGAGGTATGTTCCCTTTCCCTGAACAACTCAAATACGCTTCTGGATGACCTTCTGTTGGCATGAAATTTATACACCCTAACGGCTTTCCTTGTTTGCAGCCGAGCATTTGCTTCGGACGGACCCCGAGGATGATCTGGAGGGATTCTTCATAGCGCTTTTTGTGAGGAAAGCAGCCGCCGCAGATGCTTTGGAGCCTAGCGAAGACGGTCGCGCTTTGGGAAGGAAAAGGAAACGAGCTTGCACAACGCGAAGCGGAGGTCTCAGGGCGTTCAGCTCCTTGAGATTGTCCAGGATGGACGTGCTCTGCTCCATCTGGGGTATATAGAGATGTTGATGTTGCCCTAGGATCTTTGAGCGATTTCTTTTGGTAGCGGCAGCTGAACGAAGCCGGCGTTGGACTTGTAACTGAATTTTGCATTTTCTCGATATGTAGGCAGAATTGTGAACTAAGGCCACATTGTGCACGTTCAGTTTTGAAGCAATTAACATCGAAAAAGGGACGTGTATTAGGACGCGGAGTTTCTGCTCCCAGATTCATCTGCATCCCCTCTCAGCAAAAAAATCAAAACAAATGCTAAAAAAATTCAAATTTCTTTTGGGTGGTAGATAATTTGATGCGTGAGGTCCGCATCAAATTTCAATTCATTTAGACATCTGAGCAACTCTCGGCAAAAAAGACAAAATCAAGGTATGTAAAAATGTTTACTGTCCACACGTTGTTCGGACCCAATTTGTCTTGGACGATGATAACTGCCACGCGTGTGGGCGTTAAGGGATCTGGTCACACGTTTTGTGTGGTGTCTAAGAGGACCAGCCCACACGCCTATGTGTGGGCAAAAAAAGTAATGCCCACACGCTTTTTTCTTTCCCCGCGGTCCCTCTCACATGCTTATGTGTGGGCAAAATAGATAACGCCCACGCGACCTCTGTCAGCCACCTACCTCACGGTCTCGCACGCCCCGCGTGACAGTCATCATGCATCCCCGCAGTTGCCATGGTCCGGACCCTCTTTAATGTCCGTTTAATTGCAGTTGCCATGTTGCTATACTACAATTGCCATGTCTGACAACTACATTTGCCATGGTTGCTCAACTGCAATTGTCATCTCAGATCAAGTGTCAGATGCCATTTTTTGAACAACTGTAGTTGTTGCCATGTAGGTCTGGTTACTACAGTTGCCATGATTTGAAAACTTTGGGAGTTGCTACCTACTAACACTAGGCAGTTGCCATGTATGGTCTGGTTTACTACAGTTGCCATGATTTGAAAACTTTAAAAGTTGCCACCTACTAACATTAGGCAGTTGCCGTATATCGCTATAAAAAGACATCGCAAAATAACATGTTCGGGTAAAGAGAGAATTGCCATCTGCTTAGGAACATACTAGCAGTGGCGGATCTAGGCCCCAGGCCGGAGGGGGGGGGGGCCCGGGGCGTGAGGCCCAGTTTTGTAACGCCCTCGATGCGGCTATAGCTCCCACGTGTCGAGGCACGACTTAGAGACATAACCGCATTGAAAGCAATGTCGCAAATTAGGCAATCATCACAACGTCCCATGTAATATAGATAATAAAAGGGGAGATACATAGTTGGCTTACACTCGCCACGTCAATCAAAGTACATAAATGGCATTACAACATTCAAACACTCATGGCCCGACTACGGCGTCAAAATAAAAGATAACCCAATATGCGACACGGTCCCGATCACCCCAACTGGGCACCACTACAGATCATCAGGGAAAGACACGTAGTATCGGCGTGAGTCCTCGTCGAACTCCCGCTTGAGCTCAAGCGCGTCATCTGGAACGGAGTCATCAGGCCCTGCATCTGGTTTGGAAGTAATCTGTGAGCCACAGGGACTCAGCAATCTCGCACCCTCGCGATCAAGACTATTTAAGCTTATAGGTAAGGCAAGGTAATATGTGGAGCTGCAGCAAGCGACTAGCATATATGGTGGCTATCCTGTTCGCAAAAGAGAGCGAGAAGAGGAGGCAAAGCGCGAGCGAGAAGCTAGAGAACAACATGCGCAAGCATTACTCCAACACCGTGTTCACTTCCCGGACTCCGCCGAGAAGAGACCATCACGGTAACTCACACCGTTGATACATTTTAATTAAGTTAAGGTTCAAGTTATCTACAACCGGACATTAACAAATTCCCATCTGCCCATAACCGCGGGCACGGCTTTCGAAAGTTCAAATCCCTGCAGGGGAGTCCCAACTTAGCCCATGACAAGCTCTCACGGTCAACGAAGGAATAGACCTTCTCCCGAGACATTCCGATCAGACTCGGTATCCCGGTTCTACAAGACACTTCGACAAGTTAAAACAAATCCAGCAACACCACCCAGATGTGCCGACAAATCCCGATAGGAGCTGCACATATCTCGTTCTCAGGGCACACCGGATGAGCAAGACGTCGGGTAGGCCAGCCCAGAGTTGCCCCTGGTAGCCCCGGACATCGCTCGGTTGGACCAACACTC